GGATATTTTCCATTTCGAGAGCCATGAATATCAGGCAGATCTCCAGCAATGTCCCCATTCTACAGAGAGAAACAGAGTTTTATGTGAGACTAATAAAAATAAAAACAACATCATTACTATAAGACAAGACAAGATTTTATGTCTTTCAAAATATAATTGTAAAAACTATAAAACTATCATGTGTATTGTTTAAAAACAAACTGAATTAGCATAAATTTAATTTCAACAAATAACAGTGAAATAATACCAGTAAACAATACAAAGCAAGTAACAAAGGTACCGTTTTGGTATAAATACACACAAACTATTATACAACTCATGTGAAATTCACAATGTATATACTGCATAATACATCTCTCATATTCACACCCAATACAGAAGGTCATATTCACTTTATATATAAATTACTTATATTCAAAAATCACACAAAACACACACAATTAAATAAATGCAATGTACGCACACTCACAGAAGCCCCCTCCAATGTTCAACTGTCTGATAGCTGTTGTAACTGCCCTCTTGTGGGGTAATAAATAAATCTTTTGTTTTTATCACCTAAAAGTGTCAGTACAGGCTGCAACACAGATATATAGCAGTAGTTCATAAATAATAGGATCGGTGGTTGATTACATATCAAATCATTTTGCAACACTTGGAATTCAATTTAAAATCACAGTTTGTTGCAAAGCCTTACCTTAACAGCTGTGCTCGGATTCCTCACTTAGTACTTTACAATGCATATTAACATTATATTAAATAAATCATAAAACTTACCTTGCCTTGACTAGTGGATTTAAGCATGTATTTCTTAGGTGTCCAATGAAGTTGCAAATGGTGGCAAAATTAAAATATGTTCAACAGAAGCAGAAAGTGTATTCCTTTTTTGGTGTATGATTTTATTATTTTTCCCCCCTAATTTTAATTTCTTGTAATTTTCATGAAATCCAAAGATCTGAACAATCTCCATAGAAGAACTTGTAAAACGTTCACAAACTTGAATAACTAATAAGAGAAGGTTTTATATAAAGCTATGGTTAGAGTCAGACACATACTTGCCCATAAATGACATAGTCACAATGTATACAAAACATTCTATGATTGGCTGACTAATCTGGTTATTTGAAATATTATTATTATTTGATCAGATCTGTGGGCTTTCGCAGTAAACTCAAAGAATAAAAAAGAAAATATAGCTAAATAAGATCTGATTTTATTCAGTTTGAAACACAGAATGAAACACACAAACATAGACATTCAAAAGATCCATTGCTGGCAATCAACTTTGACAGCAGCACCAAATCTTGAGTTAACTCTGAGAATAGGATATAAACAACAGTGATGTGTCTACAAAATGCTAAAAAAAATGATTCAAATAAAAAAAAGACGAAGAAAAATTACTTATTTCCATATTGGGTTAATGACTAACTATGATTAATACTATGATTTACCATTTAAGAAATCATATGATTATGTTCACCAAATCACAATATTTTTACACATTGAATGATCACATGTTCATGTTCATCCAATCAAAAGTATTTTTACACATTGAGTGATCACATGGTTATGTTCATCCAATCAAAAGTATTTTTACACATTGAGTGATCACATTGTTATGTTCATCCAATCAAAAGTATTTTTACACATTGAGTGATCACATGGTTATGTTCATCCAATCAAAAGTATTTTTACACATTGAGTGATCACATGGTTATGTTCATCCAATCAAAAGTATTTTTACACATTGAGTGATCACATGGTTATGTTCATCCAATCAAAAGTATTTTTACACATTGAGTGATCACATGGTTATGTTCATCCAATCAAAAGTCGTTTTACACATTGAGTGATCACATGGTTATGTTCATCCAATCAAAAGTATCAAGGTTATTTTTCTTATGAATATTAAATGATTTATGCAATCATATTAGATCTGCTGAAAAGAGCTAACAATAATTGCTTTAAGGTTAAACATAGACAAACTTTAACATTTTGTTATGAAATGGTTCAGCACTGATTTATGTCATATCAGATTCGGCCTAATGCCATAATTAGGAGAACTAATATTACCATGGTAACTGATGAATGGAAAACAAATATTGACCTAATTAGAACCAAACGTCACATTTTCCTGCAAATGGTTGTCATGCTATAGAAAGATGAAAATCTCCCATAAATCTCTGTTCAATATTACACACACAGACATACAAATGTGTCTATTGAAGTATGTTGCATAATTATCCCACAATGCATCATGTTCATTAAAACGATCAAGAAGAATCCAATGCATATATATACCAGGGAATTATGAAACCAATTTGTTCTACTGCGAAATTTTCGCTTGGAATTAATTTTCGCTATTTTCACTTATAGAATGATTTAGTGAAAATAAAATCCAGCAAATATACCTTTTTTCCAATATTTTACATTCAACTTGTCAAAAATTAGTGAAAAAAATTCCATACAAAAGTATTTTCAGCAAAAATTATTTCCGGCTAAGATAAAGTATTTGACTGTACTAGAAGCACATCTCTAAGAGCAGTGCACATAAACCAAACATCTCATTTATTGTATACTCAACAATTAAAATACGACTTATTTTGACATCTGTAATGTCTCTGTTTGTAAGCGTATGCTCTACTTACACAGCAGACACAGTAGCTGGTTTGTGAGAAGCAAAAGTGACCAATGTCACACTATAAAGAGGTTTGAGATTGGCAAATTATTAAAAAGCATTCTTTGGCAGCAGTAAAAATAATAAATCATAACTATACCAAATTACAAAGGTGAGAATATGCAATAAACAGATCAGTATTTTATACTGATAGTTAAAAATGCATACAAAGCTGCCATAGAGTTTAACAACTATATTGTTTTTATGTATAATATATTAAATTTGTACCATATTTACAGTATAAGTCACACAATGTTATACATATACTACACCCAA